GCCGAGGCCATCGCGCGCTACAACGAGGGGGGAGCGGCTTTCCCTATATCTGTCTGCCCAGGCTGGCCAGGCAAAGCCGAACTTCACGCGCAGGCAGCAGGACGTGTTGCAGATGTTTGAGAGCGGAGCGCTGCTTCAAATCCGCAACCAAGCGATTCTGGCGTGCGGGCACGGCCGTCTGTTCAGGGGCGATGGCGACTACCTGGACATCGGCGGCAGCACGGGCGGTGGCTCCAGGCGCATCATCGATTCTTGGCAGCCGCCGGACTGGCGTGACTTCCTCCAAGACGATCAGGACATCTGAGTTTTGCAAGTCTCTCTGCCCGCGGTGCTTCTCAGCCTGCGGTCTGCCGCTCTCCAGCTGCGGTCTCGAGCAGTAGTGTTCGAAAGCATGCGAGTTCCTGCGGTGCTTCTCAGCCTGCAGGTTTCGCAGCCTGCGCTCTGCAGTACAAGTGCTTTTCAGCATGCGACATCCTGCGGTGCTTCTCAGCCTGCAGGGTTCGCAACGTGCGGTTTGCAATGCATTCCTTTTCAGTATGCGAGTTCCTGCGGTGTTTCTCAGGCTGCAGGGCTCCGAGGCTCTTCGCTTCGATGCCATTGTTTTCAGACACCGTAGCTCCGTTCCGTAAACGTCTTCCAAGAGCCGCTCGCAACCTTTTGCAGCTGGCTGTCTGCACGCTTCGCCGGCTTTTGCTGCGCGGACACTTTTCACACACACGTCAGCGCCGTTTGTAGGCGTCAGAAAAACATGTAGACATTCACGAAGGGCTCAGTCTGTATATCGTCACATCATTACATACGCAGTCGTCGAACACATCGGTGTACATTCAGCGCTTTGTCCTTCTAGCTGGGTTGCTTCGTGCTGAGGCTGAGGCTGATGCAGGCTGAGGCTGAGGCAGGCTGAGGCTGAGGCCGAGGCTGACGGCAGACTGAGGCTGAGGCTGAAGCAGGCTGAGGCTGAGGCAGAGGCAGGCTGAGGCTGAGGCTGAAGCTGAGGCAGGCTGATGCTGAGGCAGGCTGAGGCTGAGGCTGAGGCTGATGCAGGCTGAGGTTGAGGCAGTCTGAGGCTGAGGCCGAAGCTGAAGGCAGACTGATGCTGAGGATGAAGCAGGCTGAGGCTGAGGCTGAGGCAGGCTGAGGCTGAGGCAGGCTGAGGCTGAGGCTGAGGCAGGCTGAGGCTGAGGCTGTGACTGCGACTGCCGTTGCCACTGCGACTGTCATCGCGAATGCGACTACGACTGCGAGAACAGCAGAACTCTACAACTGGATTCTCATGTGAATCTTAAGGGGAATGCTTCCAGATATGCTCCTACACATCGCTGTTAGGTTGCTTTGCCGGGATAATTTGGCGTGTCCGGGTGCTAAGAACGCCACGGTGCGGGGCGGAGGGATACCCTCTCCTGGACCTCACCCTAGGACGGCCGACGAACATCAATTTCTCGAAGGGTTTTGAAAGAGAAATCTCTTCCAAAAGGCCAGCAGATCAGAAGCTCCCTTTTTTGGGAATCCTTGGGAACCCTTCAGCTCCTGCATCAGCATCAGCATCAGCATTAGCATCAGCTCCTGCAGGAGCACTGGGCCCTTGCAGTGCCCAGGAGACGCCTTCCTTCATGATCCCCCATCTTCCCTCAGGGGCCAGGGCCTCTCAGGGCCCAAGGGGTTCGTAATATTCTTCCGAGGCCTTCGGCCGATCCGTCTGAAAGCTCCCTCTCCCTCGGGGCCCAGGGCTTCTCAGGGCTCAAGTCACCTGGGGCTCCTAAGCAGCGGCCTGTAAGCAGGCTCTCAAGCAGGCCTCTAAGCAGCGAGCGAGCGACATCCTGAGTCTTTCATGAGAGCCACGCAGATTTGAATTTCGAATTTCGATTGTGGCCCAGGGGCCAGGCCTCCGCGAATTTGTTTTGTGTCCGGGTGCTAAACCTATCGTTCGGTTATTTCGGCCCCTCGGAATATCGAATACAAATGCGGTGCTAAGATATCGTCGGGGGGTTTCTTAAATGCTTCCTCGGGTTACATGTGGAGCACTTGAAGCTGCATCAGGCCAACAACTCTAGGATCACACAGAAGCAATAATTGCCGTGATCAGATATTGCGTCAGTGCACGTGCTCGCATCCGCGTTCGAGGTCGAGGCTCTGATACCGAAGGCCTGCGGTGGCCAGTGAGTGTGCTCTTACCCCCTCTTTTAACCTCCCAGCTTGGATCATAACCTCTCCGCTTGGGCCATGGCCCATGCTCTGTCGAAAGAAGGATAGCCTCGATGAATCACTGCATCGCTATGGGCTTTTACTGAGTGCAGCAGCGTTTGCTGCAACTCGGTTGTCCACTGCCCCCCCGGTCGCATCCCGATCTCGAGCGCGAGGACTGGCTCCTGCACTGCGTCTCCCTGCCCTGGAAGGCGCTGCCCAGCCTGGGGCCGCCTGAGGCTGAGGGAGGATGGGTGCTCAGGTGTGTCGGCGTGTGGGCGGGTAGGTGAGGAGCAGGAGGTGCAGGAGCACGAGGAAGAAGGGGAGGGAGAGGGAGAGGAAGAGGAGGAAGAGAGGGAGCGGGAAGAGGAGGATGGGCAGGACTGCCAGGAGGAGGACGACGATGAGGAGGAGATGCTGCGGTGGTCGTGTTCCAGGGGGGTGCAGGAGCAGGTGCCAGTGGAGGAGGACACCTAATGCCACGATAGGGCGATGGAGGGCCAGGGATGCGAAGGAGGAGGAGGAGGAGGACGAGGACGAGGACGAGGAGGAGGAGGAGGAGGAGAACGCGTTGCCCGCGGTTCTCCGCCGGGACATTGGCTGCTCTGTTTTGGCAATGCTTTGACGAGTTTCATACATGTACGTTTGACGGAGTCAGCTTCAAGGTTGTTGTGTGCGTTACCGCGTGCAGCACTTTTAGTATCATGGGTAGCTATTCTACCGCCTGCAATGAGCACTACTAATCAGCTCATCCTCGGCATCCATAGCGTGGGACTCATCTCTGTGTTTTTTTCCGTTCAGATCGCGATCCGTCGCCCGACTTGTCACCCCCCGAAACGGTCCTGGTGGCACTTGGGTCCAAACATGTGGCTTGGTTTTGCTGCCAGTGGGCTTGATCCGGGTCTTGAGGTCATCCGAGTCAGAATAAAACCTTGGGAGAGGTCTGAGGAGTGACGGTATTGATCCCGATTGGTTTCTCCAGGTCAGGGGATACCCAGACACGATCCTCCGCGAGGTGCCGCAGGTGCAGATCGTCGAAAGAGTCGTGGAGATGCACGTGCATGTTCTCCCGTTATTGCCGTCTGTGAGAGAGTGAAAGGGAGGCCCGCATGCAGGCTCTTGACTGCGCGGCCATCGTCTGTGACCAGGGCTACCGCGCATCCAGCAGGGGTGGCTTCAACTCCCGTCCGAGAAAAGCTTGCTCCCCCCTTCTTCGATGGACTTTCGGACCATTCGGCCAAGCTCGGCCTCCACAGCATCTTCACGATGGCTGCACGCCCAAGCTCGATGTCGGGGAGAGTGCGTTTGCCCACAGAACGGGCAGCGTGTGCATAGCCGAAACCCTCTTTTCCGCCCCTCTTTTTCCTTCCTCCTCCCAATCCCCTCTCTCTCCCTAGCCCTCCTTATTTTTGTTTCTCCTTCCTCCTCTTTCCCTTTCCGTTCCCTTCCTCCTCGCCTCTATCCGCCGACGTTCTCCTCCCCTCCTCCCATGCCCCTGCTCCTGAAACCCCAGCTCCTCCCCCCCCCTTTTTGCTTCCCGCCCCCCTCCCCCGCCCTCTCGCCCGCCTCCCCTCCCTCCTGCCCTTCCCCCCCCCCCTCATCCTCCTCGCCTCCCTTTCTCCCCTGCTCCCTGTCCGCCGACGCCCTTTCCCCCCCGCCCTTTCCCCCCGCCCTTTCCCGGCCGCCCCCCCACCCTCGCCCCGACGTCCTCCGCCGGCAGCGGCCGCCAGGTGCTCTTCGCCTGTGTGCCTCCGGCGTGGCTCCGCCCGCGCGCGCGGCGGGGGGCGGCCCCCCCGTGGCTGCTGCCGCGGGCGCAAGAGGGGGGGGGGGTCCTGGGTCCTGCTGCCGCTGCTCCTCCCTCCCCCCCCCTTCTTCTCCCTCCTCCCGCCCCCCTCCTCCTCCTCCTCCTCCTCCTCCTCCGCCTCCTCCTCCTCCTCCTCCGCCTCCTCCTCCTCCTCCTCCTCCTCCTGGGTGGCGGCGTGTCGTTAGGGCGGTCTGCGCGCTGGGCGCGCCGACGGTCCCCCCCCCCCCTGTGCGGTGCCGAACCCTGGGCGCTTCGACCGGTAACGCTCAGGAGGGAAAGAAACACACAGACACAATTAATCCTCGATTCCCCAGAAAATATGGGAAAATATGGGAAGTGGGAGGGAAGACAAAAACCCAGAAACTATGAGTTTTTTTTTTTTTTTTTTTTTTTTTTTTTTTTTTTTTTTTTTTTTTTTTTTTTTTTTTTTTTTTTTTTTTTTTTTTTTTTTTTTTTTTTTTTTAAAAAAAAAAATTGTGTGTATTTATTTGTGTGTTCCAGTTCCCCTTCAAACGCGCGTCGAGGGCGGGTCGTTTTCAACACGGTGTTCTCGCTTTGGCGCCGAGCGCGGTCGCCATGCGAATTTCTAGCGGCCGCGCGGGGCGGGGAAGCGGTGGCGGCCTCAAAATGGGACTTTCTCCGCTCCTGCGCAGGGGGCTCTCGCTTGATGTGTCCTGTCATCTTATCACCGGACGTTGGCTCTTATGCACAATCCTCGGGCCGGTGGATGCTGATGCTTTTTCGGACTTGGGCTCTCGCTTGAGGGTTTTGCCCCATCGATTCACTAACACGACGACATTCCATACTTGTTGCATACACCAGTCACCTGCCTAGTCAGGGATGGGTGGCTGCCGAAAGTAGGGAAAGTGGCAGATCACTGTCAGCAATGACCCCGCCAACTATTCTGTCACCTCCGACCACATGCTGGCTACTGGACCCGTGGTACGGGCCCCTCCGACTCCGAGGAGCACCAGTATTACCACCACCCGTCCTCGCTAGGGTCACTACGCCGACGATGTCGCAGCTCCCCCCCGCGGAGCGCCACGCCCCCACACTCTGACCAGTGTTTTCTCCATGCGACCGAACTTCTACAAGTCAGCTGCCTGACACCGTTCACGCTCTCCGAGCACCCTAACCGACCCAGCCTACTCAATCACTGCCATCCCTGGCAGAAGCAGCGCCAGCTGACCGTTCCAACGACACAGCGGCGACTCAAGATACTGACCGCTCCAGCGTCCGACGGCGGCAGCAGATGGCAGCGACTTCCTCGGACACGGTGAGCCTCGACCTCATCTTCGACCCGACTCCCAGGACCTGGCCGACCACTCCTTCCCCCACTGATCCACGGAAGCGGGGGAGGGTGGGAGCCGGGCTGGACGAGGTCGGGACTGCGGATGGGGCCGCGGCGGGCACGGCCCACTTTGGTGCACGCCCTTCTGAGACCAGTGCCGGTCTCTGGGTCCCCAGAAGGTGGTGCTCGTCACCAAGGCGCCCGCGTGCCACCGCGGCGCACAGTAATTCAGAGCCATGCCGAGGGAACCTTCCCCTCCCCCTATGGGGGTGGGGGCCCCGCTCGGGCCACCCCTCCACCTGCCTGCCCACTTTGACGTGTCTGCTTTCCACCACAATCACCATTAGTTGGAGGGGGAGGGGGTCTTCCTCCTCCTCCTCCTCCTCTTCGTCCTCGTCCTCCTCCTCCTCCTCGTCCTCTTCCTCCTTCCCCCCATCCAACAACTTATGGTGGTGGTGGTGGTTGTGGAAAACAGGCCCATCACACTTGCTCCGTCTCTGCCCCCGCGTCCGCCGCTGCGCCGCCGCCCGCGCCGCTCTGTATCTTGGAAGCGCCCATCAGCGCCCTGTTGCCCTACCTTCCCTCTCCCCCACGCCGCCCCTTCCGCCGTGTCTCCGCGCGGCGCGCTGCCTGTGAGCACACGGAGCTTCTCTCTCTCTCCCTCCCTCTCGGTCTCTGGCTGGAAGAGGAGAGAGGCGGGAGGAGGAGGAGGAGGAGGAGGGAGGAGGAGGATTTGTAGTATTATTATTCGTATTACTATTATTCTTATTAGTATTATTATTATTAGTAGTAGTAGTAGTAGTCGTAGTCGTAGTCGTAGTAGTAGTAGTAGTAGTAGTAGTAGTAGTAGTAGTAGTAGTAGTAGTAGTAGTAGTAGTAGGAGTAGGAGTAGGAGTAGTAGTAGGAGTAGGAGTAGTACTGGTACTGGTACTGGTAGTAGTAGTAGTGGTAGTAGTAGTAGTAGTAGTAGTAGTAGTAGTAGTAGTAGTAGTAGTAGTAATCGTAGTGGTAATAGTAGTAGTAGTAATAGTAGTAGTAGTAGTAGTAGTAGTAGTAGTAGTAGTAGCAGTAGTCGTAGTCGTTGTAGTGGTAGTAGTAGTAGTAGTAGTAGTAGTATTAGTAGTCGTAGTAGTA